GGCCCCAGGCCCTGCCACGGCCCCAGTTCCCACCGCAGGGCTCAGCAAGGGCTGAGCTGACACTTCCCCCCGGGGCCGGTGGCCACCGACCGCGGGGACGCCTCATCCGCCGGCAGCCGGAGCCTTCCGGCCCCGGGACGCACACGGGGCCCCCGGGGAGGAGCAGGGCCAGGGGGTGACCACGGCCTTGGGTTCCTCTTCCCCTTTTGGGGCCGATGGGGAGCGCCGGGGGCAGCGCTGGCTCGGGGCTGTACCAGGGGTTGGGCACATCCAGGCCCGGCTGTGCCCCCCGTTCTCCTCCTGCTGAATCTGCCACTTTGGGGAATGGAGCAAAAAAATCCCTGTTTTTAGTCCTCCTGGTGGGACCCTGAGTTGGGCACCCTGAGGGGAACGGCAGCCTGGGGGAGAAGGGGACCCCCCGTGCCTTGTGTGGGTGTCCCCTCATCCGTCCCCCCCCACCTTGGCCCCTGTGAGGCTTCACCGTGCCCATTAAATGGTTTGATTGTCTTTAATTACCCATGGAGCTCGTGGTCTGTGGGGAGTCCTGGGCAGGACACAGGGCTTTTCCCAGTGGAAGGTCCCTGGAGCTCCAAAAGCACGTGTCCCCAAAGTGGGGGTACCAAGGGACCAGAACCCTCAAGGACAGGTCCCCAAAGCCTTTGTCCCCAAAGTGGAGGTCCCAAGGGACCAAGAGCCCCAAGGACACATCCACAGAGCCCATCTGCCCAGGGCAGGGGTCCCAAGGGACCAATACCCTCAAGGACAGATCCCCAGAACCCATGTCCCCAAAGTGGTGGTCCCAAGGGACCAAGACCCAGGTCCCTCAAGTCCATGTCCCCAGAGTGGACATCTCCATAGCTTGTGTCCTTCAAGCCCTGGTCCCCAAGGCCCCCATTCCCAGAGTGGAGGTCCCCATATCCCACATCCCCCAAGCCCAGCTGCCGAGGGGCCGGGAAGCCCGGGACACCCCCGGATCCCAGCGGGAGAGGGGACAGGACAGAGAGGAGCTGTGACCAGCACAGCCACCCCATCCAGCCGTGGTGGGGACACACCGGGTGCCCCCCACCCCCGTGGGGGGTTTCCCCCACCCCTTGGTGCCCGTGGGGTCCCAGGGCCGGAGGCACCTGGAAATCGGGTGACGGCCCCATCCTGGCTGGACGTCCCTCCCGGGGGTCAAGGCTGTGCCCAACACCCATCCCAAGGGCATAAACAACTCAAAGGTCTCTGGAGCAGTGCCCAGATATCACTGACACGCTGGCAGCATGGCACTGGAAAGCCACGAGGATTTACCAGCAAATCCATATGGAGTCAGATCCCAAGGGAGCTGAGGGGCTCTGGTGGGAGACCCCCCCCCAAGCCAGCTGTGCAGGAGGAGCAGCCAGAATCCCTGTTCCCATCACTTTATTCATTGACATTATTATATCCTTCCTGTTTTGTGGAAATATATAAAGTACAAATAGACAAAAAAAAAAAAAAAAAAACAACCTTGTTTCCCCCCCCAAAAAAGTTGCTTCGCTATAAAATACAATAAATTAGAAATAAATAAGGGGGTTCTATAAATAAGTCTATTCTACTATTCTATCAATAAATAAGAGCAGAGAAGGAGGGATGGGGTGGGATGTGGACACCCAGGGACAGACCCACCCCGGACCCTTTGGGGTACCTCAGGTGGGAAGATAAAATGAAGTATGGATTAATAAAACAAAATATAGATTTAATAAATAAAATATGGATTTAAATAAGAAAAGAGAGGAGGGGATATGTTGTTGTGGAGAGGAATCCAAAACTGGAGAGCCCAAGGCTGAGTCAGAGCTGAAAGCCCCAGAGTGGAACTGGAGAATCTGGGGCTAAACTGGACAGGGGAGATGGGTCTGATGTGAAGGCACTTGGTGCCAGGGGGTCTGGATTTTGGGATGCTGAAGCTGGAGGTTCTGAGGCTGAGCTCAGTGGCGGAGCCAGGTCTGGCGTGGAGTCATTTGGTGCCACAGGGTGTGGATTTGGGGACGCTGGAGCTGGAGATTCTTGGGGCTGAGCTGGGTTGGTGGAGTCGGGGCTGGCTTGGAGGCACTTAATGCCACAGAATCTGAATTTTGGGATGCTGGAGCTGCCAGGGGGCCTCACCTGGGCAGCGACACGTCCCGGTTGGAGCCACCGGCGATGCCATCAGGCACAGTGGCACCTGGTGACCAACATGTCCTCGAAGACGCTGGAGACCAGCCTGCCCTCGCCGTCGTAGTGCATCAGCACCATGGGGTCGTACCCAGCAGGGACACAGCAGGGAGGGGGGGTGGCCTTGGACAGGGAATGCACTCGGGACTTGATCTGGGCGTGCATGTTGGCCGGCTTGTAGTTGTGGGGGCAGGAGCCCTCGCAGAACCTCATGTAGTAGCTGTGGGGGGCGATGACCCAGTCCGACCAGCCGATGTCCTGGAAGGAGACCTTCAGCGACTTCAGGCAACACTTCCCGTCGCTCTTCCCGCACTCCTCCTCCAGCCCCCGGGCTCTCCTGGCCCCCCGAGCCGTGTTCTCCTGGGTTTCCACCTCCAGCACCAGCGTCTCCCCCTCTGAAGTGGCCAGTGCGGCCGAGACGTTGGCTGTGAAGTCCAGCTGCAGGCGCAGCGTGGCCTCGGGACCGGCCACCCAGGGTCGGATGGCTGCTGTCACATCCAGGCTCCGGGAATCGGGGTCCAGCTCTCGGCTCTGCACGAGCTGGGGGGTCTCTTGGTCCCCCTGCAGGGCGTAGATGGTGACCCGGGGGGGCTCCGAGGCGCCGCGCGGGGACATCTCGGGGGACGGCGGCGACCGCTTGAAGAGCTTCAGCTCCGCCTGAACCACCTGGAGCTGCCGCTGGAATTCCTCGGCGCGGGAGAGCAGGAGGTGGTAGCGGTGGGGACCGCGGGGGTCCTGGTGTCCCTGGGAGTCCCCGTGTCCCTGCGGGATGTCCGGCCAGC